TAAAAATAACGTGTATTTTTGCCTGAAAATGTTTATTCCATTTTGAATTTTGGAAATCTTAGGTCATATACGTAATCAGCGACTCAGAAAACCTCCGAGTACCCACTTTCATCTCGATCAAGCAACTTTTTCCTAATTAGGTCCGCCATCTTGGATCCGCCCTTTTGAATTTTGGAAATCTGAGGTCATATACGTAATCAGCGACCCCGAAAACCCCCGAGTAATAAATTTCAACTGTTTTCCATGTAAAAAAAAATGTGTGCTTCAAAGGGTTAAAGCTATCCAATGACCAGAAATTTATATCCAAGTTCAAACACATAAATTCGGCGTCGGATTTTCAAGAGATCTTCTATATATAGTTTACCGGAAGCAAAGAAATCTGTATCGTCGTCGACATCGAGTCTGAGTATGTCCGCCCAAATTTTGCGCAGACCGTCGACAGTCTTCAATTCCTCTTCCGTGAATTCCACGACCTTGCTGTCGTTGGCTTGCCCATATTTGCTGGCGTGAACGGTCTTAGTTCCGACTTTTATTCTCTCCACATTAACGAACTGTCCGTCGACGGCCCGGATCAACAAGCCGCCCTGATGAATAATTCCCGTTCGTTCCTCATCGAGATTGATCGTCTTCTCGGCTTCCGGTTGCTTGTCGCTCCACAGGGCTGAACCGAAGAGACGCACTTCCTCGCCGTCCAGCGTCGTCCAAGCGCCCGGTGTGCTGTCCAGACCACGAATAAAATTGTGAATCTCCTTCGCCGGCTTGGTCCAGTCGATCTTCTGGAGTTCCTTCTTGTTCAACAGAGGATCGTAAGTCGCGCCCTCCGCTGGCTGCGGCACCATCGGCGCGGTCCCCTTAGCGACGAGGTCCACCGCCTCGCCCATGGCTTTGATGCCCTCGGGATAAAGGAAATTGTTGTACAGGCTGTCCACCGTGTCGTTCGGCTCCACTTTGCAGGATCTCTGGAGCAGAACAGGCCCGGTGTCCAGGCCGTCGTCCGCCCAGAAAATGGAAAATCCCGCGGTACTGTCCCCTTGAATTAAGGTCCTGGAAACACGAGACAGATCGGATCGAAAATATAGGAAAGTGCAGAAAACAATTGATTAAAAAAATATACAATTTTTGTAATCCGCCGAAGAGAAACGCGGCCAGCGCACACAAACGAAGAAGATTAGCTACCCAGTAAACGGGAAAGGATTGAAACGGATTAACATTTTTTAATTCGTGAATTGAAATGGATTGGCCTCCGTGGAAATGAATGCACTTCTATTTCATAATACGAATATAATATAATATTTTTAATATAATAGTATTATATTATATTATATTATATTAATTATTAATTATAAATATTATACTACCGGGAAAACCTGGAATTCTCAGAGAATTTCATTTTTACCATTGAAAATCATGGATTACTCATGGAATTTTACTGATACTCAGGACAATTTTTTGAATTTTACTTTTAAATTTAATTTTATCTCTTTAGAAAGTAAACGTGGCCTCATATCAAAGGTCCCTGATATTAAAAGTTAATTTATTTTAAAATTGACATATACTGTATAAAAACTCTTTAATTTAAAAAACGATAATTTGGAAATAATAAATCAGGCATTAAAAATCCAATAACGCAGAACTTGGTGCGTGAAACAATTTAATCTTCACATATGTAGTTACATTTCCATACAAAATCTTTCGTTACGTTCGAAAAATTTTATATGAAGATGTAACTATTGTACATATGAGAAGATTAAATTCTTTCACGTATCAAGTTTTATATGTTATTAAAACCCTTAGTTTCTAATTTATTTTAAGAAATTCTCTAATCCTATCTGGAATTTTGAATAAAATTCCTGGAAAATCCGAGAATTTTCAGGGAATTCTTTTACAAAATTTGAGTACCCACCCTGTAATTGTGACTACGACAAAAATTATGACTAGGAAATGCATTGTTTTAATCCATCTAAATTCAAAAAATATATTTTTTTTATTTAGATGAATAATTCATGTTCCATTTTCACGAAAAACTGTTTTTGAATTTAATTAGATTGAAAAAACCATTTCCCCTAGAATTTTGAATTAACCAATATTCACAATTTACTTTTTAAAGCTGATTTTTTTTTCTTATTGAACGGCATAAAAAATGTGATTCATGCAATTCCTATAAATGAGTACAAAGACATTTTGGGCATTGAAATGAATTTCAGATTTTATAAGACGACGAGGATAACGCGCCGAAAATATGCGATACGGCTGTATATCGATTCATAGGTCAAAAGTATAATACTAATACGCGGCGTCATACATGCAAACACGCGCAGTCGAAGGTATCATATGGCGAGCTCGTGGCCGCTTATTATCGTTGTCATTATCGTCGGCGCGTTTTCAGCGAGAAAGTAGTTTCGCCTGATCGCGCAATCTGGAGCGCACAAAACCGCGGCAAACCGGTTGTTGTGGCGCGCTGATATCGAGAGACATGATATCGCGGCCTGACTAGCTGTTACATGCAGCCATTATAGCTGTATTAGCTGTATGAGCTAAGTCATAATAAACAACAAATGCATTATCTGTAATCTACGTAGAATTACTATTAATACAATCTTTCAAATATATACCGACATATCGTGATATCAATGACGATGGATTCAATTTTGATAAAATATTCTATTCCGATAGTTTGTCAAATAAAAAATACTTTCGCATCCTCTCGATCTCTGAAAAATTTCCGAGCCCAGTAAACGCGAAAAGATTAAAATTTTTTAATTGGTGAATTGAAATTGATTGGCCGTGAAAATTAATGCATTTCTATTTCATAATACGGATATAATATAATATTTTTAATATAATATTATTATATTATATTGTGGCTAGGACAAAAATTGTGACCAGGAAATGCATTGTTAAATCCAAAACATCTTTTGTGGATTTAGATGAATAACATTCATGGTCCATTTTCACGGAAAACTTTTTTGAATTTATTAGATTAAAAAAACAGCATTTCTCTTATCTTTTGAATTAACCATGCATGTATTCACGATTCACTTTTTAAAGCTGAATTTGTTTTATTGAATGGCATAGAAAATGTGATTCATGCAATTCCTATAAATAAATACAAAGGCATTGGGCATTGAAATGGATTCAAATTTTTAGAAGTACGCATTTGCGAATGTTGAAATGAATTTTTAAAAAATCTATTTTAATTCATTCTTGTTTGCTGGGAAGAGAATCGAAAACACGTGGCGATCGAAGTAAGAGGATTAAAATCGATTGGCCGTGAAAATAAATACATTTCTATTTCATAATACGGATATAATATAATATTTTTAATATAATATTATTATATTATATTAATTGTGACTAGAAAATTGCATTGTTTCAATATATATCCAACAAATATTTGTTTTGGATTTAGATAAATAACATTCATGGTCCATTTTCACGAAAAACTTTTTTGAATTTATTAGATTAAAAAAACTGCATTTCTCCTATCTTTTGAATTAACCATGCAGTATTCACGATTCACTTTTTAAAGCTGAATTTTATTTATTGAATGGCATAGAAAATGTGATTCATGCAATTCTTATAAATAAATACAAAGGCATTGGGCATTGAAATGGATTCAAATTTTCAGAAGTACGCATTTGCGAATGTTGAAATGAATTTTTAAAAAATCTATTTTAATTCATTCTCGTTTACTGGGAAGAGAATCGAAAACACGTGGCGCTCGAAGTAAGAGGATTGAAATCGATTGGCCGTGAAAATGAATGCATTTCTATTTCATAATACGGATATAATATAATATTTTTAATATAATATTATTATATTATATTAATTGTGACTAGGACAAAAATTGTGACTAGAAAATTGCATTGTTTTAATCCATCTAAATCCAACAGATATTTGTTTTAAATTTAGATGAATAACATTCATGATTCATTTTCACGAAAAACTTTTTTTGAATTTATTAGATTGAAAAAACAGCATTTCTCCTATCTAGAATTTTGAATTAACCAGTATTCACGATTCACTTTTTAAAGCTGAGTTTGTTTTATTGAATGGCATAGAAAATGTGATTTATACAATTCCTATAAATAAATACAAAGGCATTGAAATGGATTCAGATTTTCAAAAGTACGCATTTGCGAACGTTGAAATGAATTTTTAAAAAATCTATATATAATTTTAATAATTTTAATTCTATAATATTTGATAATATATATTTTTAAATAATATTTTAATTCTATAATATTCCATAATAATTTGAATTCATTCTCGTTCACTGGCAAGAGAATCGAGAACACGTGGCGCGATCGAAGTAAGAACTCACCAGCTTATAGCACTCGCTCCTCTGTGCCTGGGCAATAAGGACGGATGGTAACATATGCTACGGTGACGGGGATGATTAATAACCTCCATAGGGATGTACTGGCTGCAGAAGGGTAGAATGTTAAGGTCCACCTCGATGCCCTTGTACAGCTCCAGGATTTCCGGCAAGGTCATTCCCTTGCTCCTCCAGGCCTTGATCTTGAAGACCGGCGTGTTGTCGGCCTTGGCAGTGGTAGCTGCGGTCGAGAAGCGGCACGGATAACGAAAAGCGATAATGCAAATCGCGGGATTATCCATTGGAATGTCCGCAATTTTTCAGGTATTTTTTTTTTTTTATCAGAATCACATAAGGTCTCGAAGAGCGATTAAAAATTAAAACACAGTACGCGAATGATCCCGATATATTCATTTTACAATCGATCGTAAGGATCGATTTGAAGGATTCGCAATACGATCGATATTTTTAATGAAAGCCCTCGTACCTAGAGGATCCTCGCGGTTTCCCTTATCCGGAATCGTGAACACTCCGGTCACCTGATGTCCATTCTGTCGTAAAAGTTTGTAGACTTCCGCCGCGAACGGACTCTGTCCGATGATAGCTACCTTGAGTTGCGCCATCGTCGACTGCAATTATCGAAATATTCTTTATCAATCTGAAATCTCTATATGTTACTTTTACCAGTGGGACTCCGTTTATTCGCTCACTTTATACGCGCGAACGAGGGGAAGGCCAGGTCAGTGTATCACCGATCCTGATGTCAATTTTTTTTTACGAAACTAGAGGCAAAATAAAGATACAGACCGATCCTGATGTCAATTTTTTTTTACGAAACTAGAGGCAAAATAAAGATACAGTGTCCGAGCGTTTGATTGAATGGGCCTTAGTTTTCGAGTAAGAATTTTCGAAAAATAAATTTTTAAATAATAATATTCAATATTTAATAATAAAAAACGATTTATTTTTTTTATTCAATATTGATTATTATTATTTAAAAATTTATTTTTCGAAAATTCTTACTCGAAAACTAAGGTCCATTTAATCAAACGCTCGTACACCATATCTTTATTTTGCCTACTAGTTTCACACAAAAAATTGAGATCAGGATTCGTGCACTAACCTGGCCTTCCCCTTGTCAGTTCTAAATATAATACGAACTTACAGTTGGCACGTAGGTGCAATTATAGTTTTCTGAACGTCAACTGTTATTAACGGAGCTGATAACTCACAATTAGTTGATTGTGAAACTCTATTATCTGCAGAACTATTTCGATTACAAAAATTGTCCTGTCCTCCGAACTACTAACTATAGTGTGTCCGATGAATAATATATCCAATATTCGAATAAATGAATAAATAATGAATATGAATACGAGTATAAATATCTTTTTTTTTTATATTCATGGAAAATTGAATAAATATTTTTTGTGCAATTTAAATGAATATATTTATGAATATGATTACGAATATTTTCGAATTCGCATTCACCTCCACTCTACACACTAAAATTCTGCCTTCGAGCTTGGTTTAAGTTTAAGAAACACACGATAACACCGAGAAGAAAATGAGAACTATTGTCAATACTTTTATTTGGAGATTCTGAGGAATCTTTTAATTAAATCTGTTAATTAAACAATACATTTTATTCAGCATCCACGATGCTAAAGCACTTAAAATACCTTATGAAATTAACATTATTGTAATCCGTACAAAATTGCAGTGTTCGATTTTACTGTATTTTTTTGGTTTGCAAAAATATAGAGAATAAAAATTATATATTAAAAAGAATTATATTAATTCTTTCAAATCGGTGGTTAATTCTTTCAATTCGGGGGTTAATTCTTTCAAATCGGTTATATTCAAATAATAATAATAAATTTTTAAGAAAAAATGATGACCAAGGAACAAATCAACGAACTAAATAATATGAACTCCGACGAATTATTTACCAAAAAATGAGAGAATTGATTTAATAAAAATGTTTGATTCTACAATGTAAGTATTTTGAATATCACAAGCTACAAAAACCAATATACATTTTTAATTTTTTTTAAATATTATATGGTATTTAAATATGATGTAACGCAAATGTCTAACGCAAAGTGATTCTATCATTTTCTTATTAAGGAGAAAATAAAAGATTATTGGCTTAGGAATTAAAATTACTGTTTAAAAAAATGTAGATTTAAAATTTTTGTATTATTTAAATATATTTTTTGAAAATATTTTACTTTTATATTTCTAATTTAAGAAATATTTATATTTTCAAATGCTTATTGGCGCGCGCGTAGCGCGCGCTTATAATGTTGTAGTATATTATAAAAAGAATTATTGTTGCGAATAAAAGACTTTTAAATAAAAAATTTCTTTTCTAAAAATTTTTTCAAAATTTGTAAGTTTTCTTTATCAAATCTGGATATTAATAACGATATATAAAATCTATTTTTCATTTTCTTTTTTACTTTACATTTTGTATGAATAAATATGAATAAATCATAAAATAATCATAAAATAGACACGAATAAATATTCTTAAAAGCCCACAAGTTTGAATAAATATTTGAATGAATATTTTCTTAATGTGAAAATTTTGAATGAATATATAAATTGTAGTTCAATTACGAATTTTTTGTATTCATCGGACACACTATCTCCGACACGAATAAATGGAGTCTTACTGTACTCTCCAAATTTTCATTGAAAATTATATCGAGCTTTTAAATGAGATAAATAATGAGAAATATCACCGCTGACACCGAATGCACTTTTATACACTCTATTATTAATGGATTGCATATAACTTATTACACCATTATATAATCTATTGGAATAGTTTATTGATTTATGTTATTTGGCCTATGTTATAGAGAAAAATTGTTCTTTGTCAGGTATTTTTCAACAGTAAGCCCAATAAACGAGAATGGATTAAAATAGATTGAAAAAGATACATATCAATGTTCGCGAATGCATACTTCTTAAAATATGAATCCATTTCAATAGCCTTTATATTTCAATGCCTTTATATTTATTTATAGAAATTGCATAAAGCACATTTTCTATATACCATTCAATCTCAAAGTGAGTTTAGTTTTAAAAAGAAAAAGTGTGAATATTGTTTATTCAAAATTCTAAATAGGAAGTTTTTTCAATTTAATTAAATTCAAAAAAAATTTTTGTGAATAGGAAATGCATTGTTTCAATCCATATAAATACAAAAAATATTCTATTCTATTCTATTCGTATTATGAAATAGAAATGCATTCATTTCCACGAAGGCCAATCCGTGGATTAAAAAATTGCAATCCATTTTATCTATTTCCGTTTACTGGGAATGCGCGCGTTAATACCGAACGTTTTACTTCAATCTTAAGTACATTAATTAAATAATATTCAATCTACGTACCTTATAGCTAAGGTTTAGCCTCTCTTTCCTGTAGCAGTTTTTAAGCAAGCTGTAAATATACAGAATACATCACCGAAGCCCCAATTATCATTATTATGCGTACTCCGCCACCATTATCGCGTGCACATATAAGAGTGCGATATTATTAATTAGTGTACATAAAAATTAACACAGTAAATATCGTGAAAGCCACTTATCAAAATTAAATAAACGAAAAGCCTACATCCTCATTATGGTAAAAGAACAGAACTGCTTTTATCGGAACTAATAACAGAACTGCTATTATTGAACCATATTCAGTTATCGGAGCTGTCTTTTTGTAAACCAATCAACATTACGAGACGCATCCCCAATGAAGCTGATTGGCATTTTAACTTCAATGAACTCAATAATATAAATATATAGTATAACAAATATTATATGCAAGGCTATAACAATGTTACATTATAGAGTACAAAATTATAATATTAATGTAATTGTTAATAGTTAGTGTTTACTGAGTATCAGATTCCGGTAAAAAATTTTTTATATAAGAACATATATAAATAAAAAAAATAATACTAATAAAAAAAACAAAAATTGAAAAAGTAATTTGCGTATTGTTTCTTTTCATAAAAAATCAAGTTGAAGAAAAAACTGCTCATATATAATTTATATATACGTATATAATATATATAATTATGTATGGATAATCTTATCTTATTTGTTGTATTGATTTTGAATTTGTATTCGCATGAACGTTTTTTTTACGTTTTTAAATAAATTTTAATTTTCAACTTTTAATTAGTGTTTATATATTTATACATGTTCTTATATGAAACATTTCTTATATGAAACCAGGATAAAAGATAATTAAATATATAATTATATATATATGTGTAATATATACATATATATTACACACACAAACGCACACATAAATATACTAATTGCATAAATAATTGCACATATGATTATATCGCTTAATTATCAGTGGACCTGTGTAACTTTTTCGTATTTTTTATGTGACATACGTTGTACATTACGTTTTGTGTTAAATTTAATGTGATCGTTATGATATTTAACACACACGTGTTGGGAGCCCTTGTGAAAAAATATTGGATTAATGAGAAAATTATTGGAATATTTATAGTATATAATATTGGATTTGAATAGTTTTCTAACGATTTTCAATAGGTTTTTCATAATCTAATAGTATTTTTCCATAAGGAAGAAGCATTTTGTTTTAAGCTACGACAAAATAATGTAAGAAAGAAATTTATATCTATTCTTCTCTTTCTCTCTCTCTCTTTCTCCCGAATTTCAATGAAACACGTTGAATTGACGACTTACGATGTCCAAGACGAAGTTGCGCCGCCAGATGAGATTCCTGAGGCCCAGCATCGGTTGTAGGATCGCAAGTAGTATCGCGAGATATGTCCACGTCGCGCCTTCACTTTCCTCACTGATTGAAACTTTCAGTGAAACTGTGCGACGATCGCAATCAGTTCCTTGCGTGGACTGCAAGTGCCCGGGTAAAAGCAGTTACGTTTATATAATGTGGACGATATCTCCATATCGGCTATAAACGAGGGTCAAGACCGAGAGCCACCCGCTGATCCTCCTCTCTTCGAGGTATCCCCATTATCTCTGGATGCCACGAGCGATAAGTAATGTCCGAAGACATGTAACTAAGCTTTTTCTATTATAATTTCTAAATTGAATATTTATTTTAAAAATTTAGCAGTTTTTTAATTTTTTAATTAAATTATTAAATCAATTTATTAAATTCAGCAATTTCTAAATTGAATATTTAATTTAAAAATTTAGTAGTTTTTCATTATAAATCAGAATAACATATTTAAATAAATTATAACATTTATATCGAGAATCTATAAATAATTATTGTAAATCAAGTAATGATAAAACATTTCCTATACGGAAAATTTTTTTTTAGCAGTTTTTTAATTTTTAAATTAAATTATTAAATCAATTTATTAAATTCAGCAATTTCTAAATTGAATATTTAATTTAAAAATTTAGCAGTTTTTCATTATAAATCAGAATAACATATCTAAATAAATTATAACATTTATATCGAAAATCTATAAATAATTATTGTAAATCAAGTAATGATAAAACATATCCTACACAGAAAAATTTTTTTTATCAGTTTTTTAAATTTTTAAATTAAATTATTATATCAGTTTATTTAATTCAGCAATTTCTAAATTGAATATTTAATAAGAAAATTTAGCAGTTTTTCATTATAAATCAGAATAACATAACTAAATAAAGTATAACATTTATATCGAGAATCTATAAATAATTATTGTAAATCAAGTAATGATAAAGCATACCCTACACGGAGAATTTTTTTTTAATTTACCCTGCAAATCATGTTAATTGTGGGATACTATAATATTTAGGTAAATTTTACTGTGCACTACAATAAATTTTACAGTAGTAAAATACAGTAAAATTTATTGTAATGCACAGTAAAATTTGCCTAAATACTATATTGTCCCACAATTAACATGATTTGCAGGGTAAATTAAAAAAAAAATTCTCTCCGTGTATTCTCTAAAATTTAGATTATTTTTGTAATGGTATTAATTATTAAATAATAAACTTGTAAAGAATAAAAAACAAAATACTAAGTTTTCTTTTCTATTCTGTTAATAATACGGGATATAATATTTTAAAAAGTATTCGACCGAAAAATACAAAATCTTATATTTCTTTCTTCTTGCTAGATCGATCTCAATCTAAAATGAATTTGCAAGAAATAAATTTGCAGCGTAAGTCTTTTTCTTGGTCAAAATACCGATACTGAGTCAAGTTTGTTCACGTCAAACGTAAATCGGAAAATTGACCGAGGAGATTTTTTCCATGACGCCGCAATGACTTTCTAATCGGAGCGAGACGCGAGTGCGAACCGGCTCGCTCCGGTTAAAAGGAAAGATTCGCCGGTTTCGAGATCGTTAGGTCACAAGGAGGTAAAAAGTCTCGCCGATAAACGAGCATTTATGTTTACACTGGCAACTCCGAACCACCGCGAACCGGTTTCGGGTCACTCGATCTCCACGGGTGACGATCTTTATCACGCAGGATCATGCGAGCGTAAAATGCGTATTTAGCATTTATATCAGATTCACGCATCCGTAATTCTACGAAGACGAGATCGGTCATCGCGCTGTGTAACCCTGTTATATAAGGATCGTCTCTAACAAACTCGTTCTCGTTCCATGAAGCGCCGTTTTACACACGTATACATTATACACGTCCGAAAAGAATCGTATTTCCTTTCGGATAAGCGGATAAAGCCGCGAATACATTTTCTCGCCGGGTGAACGCTTCTCGGGACCACTTCTTAAATAACGTCCTCTTTGCAACTACCAAACATCTGTATTTGCTTATGAATTTTACGTTGCTTCCAAAATGAATTCCTTAATTAAAATATAACGCGAAGACGTAACAAGATGATAAAAATATTTTCTATACAGAAATTTATACATCAAAGAATGCTATAGAGTTTTCTCCAATTATAGAAATAATAAATAATCTTTATCAACAATCTATACTTTTTTTTTAAGTTTAAGGCCTTTACAATCAAGAGACACGGTAGTGTCTCATGCCAAGTATGTTAAAATATAGCGTGAAGACGTAACAAGATAATAAAAATATTTTTTATACAGAAATTTATACATCAAAGAATGCTATAGTTTTCTCCAATTATAGAAATAACAAATAATCTTTATCAACAACCTATACTTTTTTTTAAGTTTAAGGCCTTTATAATCAAGAGACACGGTAGTGTCTCATGCCAAGTATGTTAAAATATTTATAACACGAAGACGTAACAAGATGACAAAAATATTTTTTATACAGAATTTATATATTAAAGAGTGCTATAGTTTTCTCCAATTATAGAAATAATAAATAATCTTCATCAACAATTTATACTTTTTTTTAACTTTAAGCGCTTTGTAATTAAAAGACAAAATAGTGTCTCACGCCAAACATGTTAAAATATAACGCGAAGACGTAACAAGATGATAAAAATATTTTCTATACAGAAATTTATATGTATATTAAAGAAGGCTATAATTTTCTCCAATTATAGAAATAACGAATAATCTTTATCAACAACCTATACTTTTTTTTAAGTTTAAGGCCTTTATAATCAAGAGACACGGTAGTGTCTCATGCCAAGTATGTTAAAATATTTATAACACGAAGACGTAACAAGATGACAAAAATATTTTTTATACAGAATTTATATATTAAAGAGTGCTATAGTTTTCTCCAATTATAGAAATAATAAATAATCTTTATCAACAATTTATACTTTTTTTAACTTTAAGCGCTTTGTAATTAAAA